CAACGAAGTAAAAGCCATAGAGATGGGACTGGAAGTTATTCCACAAGCAACTTTTTCTCCAGACTCTCAATAAATAGTCCCTCACATACGACTCACCTTCTCTGGTCAATAAGTTGAAAAATATCGAAATATTCTTCAAAAAATTAATCGAACCAAAACTGGAATCGTTTTCTTATAATACAATACACAGTTTGACAAAATGTTGACGTAAAGTCAGTGAAAGTTACACAAATACTTTAATGGCTTAATGATAATGCCATGAATTTATGGGAATAAAAGATTTTGTCAAAAAATGTGTAGTTAGCTTGCTTTAGCACAAGGACACAATTATCGATTTACTGACAGGGCTCGAACTCACACTGTTGAATTGGACTGTAAGACAAAATTGCTTATAAACTAAGCTTAGCTTAGATTGAAACAAGACCACTCTTTTGGGGTAACCAGTGAGGATTGAACTCACAACACTAGCGAAAGGGTCTACAGGTCGTATTTGCAGATGATTTCGCTATGATATACAATCATAACCAAATGTGTACATTTGCTTGTCTGTGTGTGTGTGTACATGTGTGTGTGTGTGTGTACATGTGTGTGTGTGTGTGTGTGTGCACGCGTGCATGCACACTGCCTACATGCTTTACCGATTGTCGATGCATCTGGTATGGAGTTAAAGGTTTGCTTTCCTTATCCCCCCCCATGACGTCACTTTCAAATGAGCCATTTGTAATGTCACTAATTTGGCACAAACACGACTTTCACCGAATATTTCAAACCTCCCCAAATTATTAGTGTCTGCAAGTCCGGAAATAAAAATAATTTTGAAGAATTTAATTAAATATAAAAAAAAAGAAAATGTCTGTTCAGTATATATTTCAGAGATGAGGTATTATGTACATTATTTACATTATTCCGACTATTGTCCTCATCGCCATATTTATTACAACGTTTCGGCTGTTGTACGCTCCGGCCTTCTTCAGGTGGTTGGAATGTCGAACTGCACCCTTTATTTCGCTCACTGTGGTAGACTGTTCTAGTTCCACGTGCCATGTTTAATGGATGTCAGTTATCAGTTATCTCCTGTTAATCTCCCTCTGAAAGTTCTCCACTGCCTTAACCGGGTATTGAACTCACACTCTTTGGGTCCTGTCTCTGGATTTAACCAACGACTTTATCCTCTGTGCCATCTCCATTGTGAACTGTAACAAAGGTCTTATTGAATTCACATGGTCCAGTAGAAGAGCGTGAGAAACGTTGTAATAAATATGACGACAAAGATGAGGACAATAGTCCGAATAATGTAAATAATGAAAATATTTGTTGGTTATCAATACTCCACGAACCAACAACAGTAGATTTTTATTCAGAGCATTTTTCTGTCCGAATTTCTGGGATAAGGAGTTGATTACTTTATTTATATTCAAATTATTGTTCGCATCTTCGTTGTTTATAACGTTTCAGTCGCTGGACCTCCAGTCTTCATCAGGTGTTTGTCAATTCAGGTAGCCGTCTGGGAATTTCGCATTGAACACTTTATTTAATCTACGACAATGGATTGTTCTCGTGCTCCTGACCTTGTCAGGAGATGTCTAGTCTTGTTCTTGTTTAGTATTGATCGGTTCGAAATTTACTTAAGCTTACCCGGATGAACAAGCACCTAATGAAGGTCGAAGAGTACAACAGCCAAAATGTTGTGATAATATCAGCAAAAGTGAGGGCAATAGTCCGAGTATGAATAGTATAAAGAAGATTATAAAGAGAAATTACCTTTTCTACCAATACACGTGAGTTTATACAGCAGTAAAAGCAGAAATAGAATCGAGACGACAATAGATATACTGATATCAGTCAGTTATGTGCCATGCGTGATACACGCGTAGGCGATCATGTATCTTTCGACACATGACTGACGAGGCAGATTTTTTCGCGCAATAGGTTGCCATTTCTTTCTGCGGTAGACCAGTTGCCATCCAACGCTATAGAACCCAGTCTGTCCTCCTATTTACACCATAGCTGGGGGAAGAAGAAGAGGATTCATACCTTTCCCAAGGGTATTAGCACGTAATTGAATATAATGGATTCGACTGGAATTCAAACTCGGCTCTCCGATTCCTCTGTCCGAGCCGCTATCCATTATTCTACTGTGAATTTTAATTCCCTCGAAAGCACCAGTATGTTTTTTTTAATTTAGCGTAATGTTCTAGATATAATTATCAGATCATTGCAAATGTTTGTGTCCGATTTTCATTGTTAATATAAAATGGCTGCAACTTAATACTGACATTTATTTTGGCGCCAATTTCTGAGGTGTTTTAGATTGAAACCTTTCATCATTCTGATGCGAGTGATTCTGATTGGTTGAATGTTGACGTTTTCTTTTTTTGTCTGCAAATGAATGTCTTAAAGATGACAAAGCCATTGAGGAGGTGTATTTCCTGTTCTACCTCTTCAAGGGTGGGGGGGCAAAAATTGGTTTGGCAGATTTCGTCGGGTGATTTTAACCTAAATGACAAACCACATTTCTCCCTACTTTGGGGCACATTGCCATCGAAAATTTTTGACGGAAGAGATTGCTAAGTGTTTGAAAAACGATATTTCAGCTGCCTTTTGTCATTTGAAGAAATTTGGGTTCAAGAAAAACGGCCGATTTTGGCAAATCGAAAACACGACAACGCAAGACCGGATGTTGCAAAACAGACCTTGCAGAATCTTAAAGAGTTGAAATGGCAAACCTTCCAGCACACACGCCATATTCTCCTGACTTGACTATTTTGGATTTTAATTACTTCCGGTCTCTCCACAACAATTTAAATGACAAAAAATTCGACTTTGTATAGTCAGTCAAAAACTATCTCACAACGTTCTTCCGACAAAAAACACAATGTTTCTCCGAAAATGGCATCAACAAACCTGTAGAACGACTGAAGACAATTGTTAAAAAACAATGAAGACTGTGTATTTGACTTATAAATATTTCACATTATGAAATGGACAAAGTCCGACAATTATTTTAAGACATTTTTATGTTTATACATTCTTTTTATAGATACAAATAAATGCTCTGTTTATAATATATATATATATATATATATATATATATATATATATATATATATATATACACACACACACACACTTTGTATGGTTTATAGAGTTCGTGTGTGTGTGGTCCATATAGTGTGTATGTTTTTGCCAGTATGTGTATATATTCGTTTTCCATACATATATAATATATATTACATTATTATAAAGAAATCTATTGTGATTTGCCTAATGCCGGTTTAAATTTGTCTATGAAATTTTAACCATTCTTCGCCTGATAAAGGTCACAAGACCCGAAACGTGTGTAGCAAAAATATGTAAAATAAAGTATAATATATTAAAAAAATTCATATTATATCCCAAAACATTTGCGGCTTCCCTTTTCTATTTAAGATATACACTTTTCTCTCGTTGGAACAACTATAATCTCCCCATTATATATATATATATATATAAAGAGAGAGAGATAAAGGGAAATAGACTCTGCCCAAAAATGTATACACACTTCAGGAAAGAAAAAAACTGTCTATCGTAGTTTTATCAAAATACTGTTGACTGACGTAGAATATTTTCCCGGCAGATGGTATTACATTGACAGCTCTTAAACAAGAAAGTGAAAATGCATGTGCAGCAAACCCACTGGACGTTACCGAAGCTGCAATTCGCCGTATTAATAAATGTCTAGAGGCTAAAGGCCACCATTAACCTATTTGATAAGTGCGTGTCAATGGGTGGTAGGACAGAGACAAAGTGTGATAGTAAAAAGTCAAAAATCACCTGTAGTAACAATAGACGGGGAAGTTTTGGAGAGCCATGATCTGGTACCAAGATTAGAGTGGATCTATTAACTTTATGAAGTAAATGTCTAGAAAAAACGACAATGTATTCTGATAGAATTTTAAAAGATAATTTTCATAATTATCTTTGCTTAATTTCGATTTTTTTCTTCTTTTTGTCCGAAGGTTTTTTTTCTTTTTCTTTTGATTCCTTCTGTCTTTTACCTTAGGTCCTTGTTTATTCTATCGTGTCAAGCGTGTTAACGCTGAAAGTCATGAACCCAGTGTACCCTTGCCACACTCATGCTGTGTTTTTGTACCAAACTTGACTCATTGCTAATCATGAATTTGTTTACAAATTATTTGGCACCTTCTACCTTGCCAGCTTGAACACCTGTCCGTATTAAGTAGGTAGGAATCAATTTTCAAAGGCCATGCATCGTGAGTTTAATATCCACTCGGTGCGCTGTAACTATGGCAATGAACTAGATTAGGTTTAATGAAAGTCTTGCTGGCTAGTTACCAATATCCTTAGTGCATTTCACTCTATTGTATCTTAGTCTCCAGATAGAGTTTAGGGTTTTGATTGCACACACATTCTCTATATCTCCTTATCCGCGGTTTCAGATTTCCGCGGTCATCTCTAGAAATGGGTTCAGAGTAAAAGAGCGATACTGGCAACTAAGCTACGCCAAAGGGTAACCATAAAAGTTTTTCTTTTTTTTAAATGATCAGAATAATTTATTTTTGATTTTTTTCAAGTGAAGATAGGCGAATATTGTCAGAAGGTTTTTGCGAAACTTCCCAGCGATCTTTTGGAAAACTGGAAACTGAATGCATCGTTATTTCAGGAAACATTTGCGCACATTTAACAAAAATGAACAGAAATTCTTGCTAGAAACAGCAAATGTGCATGCCTTCTTATGCACCCTCTACGCATACAGAAGACCCCCCCCCGTAGTATTTGGTTTAAGTTATTTGCAATCAAATTTAGAAATAAACAATTTCTAACTTTAAATTAATAATGTCCCCAAAGTGATCCCGCCAATTCAGACATTCAAAAGAAAAGGTATAAAGCGATTTCTTTAAGTAAAAAGTTAAAAATCTGTTGACAAGAAAACGAAAAATAAAAATCCTGTGCTGTGGTTGCTAATATCCACGGTAAGAACGAATATTATCTATAAGGGCTTACGGCCACACCACCTTGAAACACCTGTTCCCGTACGATCACCGTAGTTAAGCAACGTCGAGCCTGACAAGATGGGTGACCGTTTGGGAATTCAACGTTAGATGACATAGGCCACCCCCTTCCCAACTCCCCATAACTCAGTGAGCACAATCTGAGTAATATTTTCATTCAAGCATGGGACGTCTCAAAAGTTATCAAAAGCCTTGACCCTAAGACCCAGACAAAATTCCAGTGGCTATCCTTAAGCATATCAGCCCGGAATTATCCCTTAATCATAGCGAAGTTATTTAACCGCTGCTTGAAGGAGAACTCCTTCCCAAGCCTATAGAAAGTGTCAAGTGCGGATGTGCGGGTGGTGTAAAAGACAATGGCTCGGAATTGTTAATTGGGGAGCAAAGTTCGAATTCCTGTTGGTTTCGTCATATTCACTTACGCGTAAATACCCTTGGGAAAAGGTATGAACCCACCATTTCTCCCCACCACCCCTAGCTACGGGTCAAGTAGTAAAACTTTTATCACTAAAGCATTGTTATCTCAAAGAAAATCTTACAATCTAAAAGTATTTTTTGGTTTTAAATAATCTGGAAAGTCTTAGAAAACGAACCAAAAAGAATTGTTCTTTGAATTGTTGGTTTAGATATTTTTTTTTATTAATCTATTATTGTGTCAGATTTATTTAATTTATCATAGGTGTGTATATAAGAGAAACGTATTATATTTGCAAGTGTTCTATCCGCGATTTGACCTATTCATTGCGGGCCTTGGAACATATAACATACAGGGAAGAGAATATTAGACTATATACAGGATGTTGCAGCAAAATCCGACACTTGACAAAAAGAATACGAAATATACTGTAAAAATAAAAGTTGCCTATGCAGAGACCTGACAGTTTTTTTTTAGCAAATAGTGAGAGTTACGGCGATGGTGACGACCATCTCAAGGCGGGCACGAAATGAGTCACACGCTTTGGCGACTATCTCCTTAGACATAGCGGCGAACGCCTCCACGATGACAGCCTTCAGAGAGTCGACCGTGTTGTGGGCGTGCTTGTTGGTCTTGGCCTCGATCACGCCCCAGAAGAAATAGTCAAGTAGGGTGCAGTCAGGTGAGGAGAACGGCCACAAGTCCGGCGACCAGTGGTCAGGTACATTGTTGAGCAGCCACGCCTGGGTCGTCTTGGCCTTGTGTGCAACGATGTGGGGGGGGGCGGCGTCATGCCTCGGTTCTTCTTTCAAAAGGGCCTGACAGTCACCGCTGAGATCTACCAGGAGGTGCTGAGGGGCGTGGTGAAGCCCTGGATGGACAAGATCGCCGCCGGACGCCCCTACGTCTTCCAGCAGAACATATTACCAGCAATAAAAATCTTGTCGGCATTAAATAACCCATTGAGGTTGATATACCGTAAAACAAACCAAACCAAACCAAACAGATTTCCCCAATTCAAATAATCGGCACAAAACAACCTTCCTACGACTAGTAGTAAAGTTCCAACGACTAGAAGTAAAGTTCTTACGACTAGTACTAAAGCCCTATAAAATCTGCAATGGTTACTTGGAATACATATCTCTAGTTACATATATTTACTCATTTCCTCTGCTCCCTCCACTCTTTCTCTCTCTCTCTCTCTCTCTCTCTCTCTCTCTGTCCTATCGACTCATCCTCTTCGTATTTATTCTCTCTTCCCTTTTCCACACTCCTAGCATTTTTCTCTTTCTTCTACACCCCCGTTTCTCTCCCCTTTGCTTTTCAACAGTTCCTCTATTTCAATCTTTCTCTCTTTTCAATACTCTCCCTTATACTCCTTGCATTTTTCTCTCGCTCTTTTTACTCTCTTTTCTATACTCCCTCTATTTTTCAAACTATCTCCTACCCACTTCCCTTTCTTCCACTTATTCTCCTTCTTTAACATTCTCTTTCTTCGACTCTCTCAACTTTTCACTCCCTCTTCTTTCTGTCGCCACACCTCTTTCTCCCACTTCTTCTTCTTTCCTTACTCCCACTTATTCAACTTCTTTCTCCTCACTACCTTCTTGATTCCCTACTCTTCTCCTCCTACTCCTACGCCTTCATATTCTCTTTTCTGTGTTGTATCTTCAGGTCTCACAGATTCACCTGCACTTTCTCTGCCTCACACTCTTTCTTCTATTCCTTCTACCTTTTCTCTACCTTTTTCTTTTAGCTTTAATTCTGCCACCCACACCCCGGTCTTACCACTTCTTTATATTCTCTCTCTTTCTCTTCTACCGTTTCTCCAAATCCCCCACACACGTTTTCTATTACTTCTACTTTCCCGATTCCTCTACTCTCTTTCCTACACCCTCTCTCTATATATTTCATCTCTTTCTTCTACTCTGTATACTTCCTTATGTTTTTTCATACGTTCTTTCTTTCACTCTCTCCCTCCTCTTCCTATCTATGACTATTTTTCTTTCTCCAACTTCCTCTTCTCAACCGCCTGTCTATATCTTACACAACTATTCTCCCTTTCTTCCCCAATTGTTTTTCATCTAATAGACTTTCTGTTTAATTCCATTTCTGGCCCTTCATTTTCCATATAAATTGCACTGGCCACAAGCATTTCCCTTCAGCTTTGCCTGTCTTTTTGACTTATCGTCTGTCTGTCTGCCAATTCAGCTATTCTTCACCTAACATATATTAAATACTCTAGAAAGCAAAGCTTAGAGGAAGACCACGCCCTTTCCTCGCCTCTTTCGTCTCGCATCATTTTTTGCCCATGAAATAAACTACTTTCGTCTCTATCACTGTCTACATCTTTTGATAAGTTAATATTAATTCCCCACTCTCTCTGACCATTGCTTATACACTGTGTTTCTCTTTATATTCACTCCCTTTCACTCTCTTTAATCGTTCTCCTCTTCCTTAAACTCCTATAAATCTCCTTCTCTTTATTAAACGTTCACTGTCTTTCTTCTGGTTGAAAACATATGCATTTACTCCTACTCTCTTATTTTGTCATAATGTCCACTTACACTCTCTTTTCTCGTTTGTTATTTCTCGTACCTTACTCTCTAGCTACATTTTATTTCTTTTTCTTTTTTTTTAACGCCTGCTTTCATTTCAATTCGCTTCCCTTCCCTCTTAATACACCATTTCTCACTCCTAAACCATCTCCTCTTTCTTTGTACATAACTCACATATATCTTACTCTCACTCTCTTATTGGCCTCTTGCGATCTTCGCCCTCTTTCTCCCTCTCTTCTCTTTAATTTTACTGTCGCCTTTTTCTTGCTTCTCTCTCTCCCTCTCTCTCTCTCTCTTCCCCTCTCTCTCTCTCTCTCTCTATTTGTAGATTTTTTCTTTCCTTTTTGATGTCCTTTAACTCCCTTTCTCTCTCTTATAAACATCGTTCTTCATCCCCCCCTCATTCTGTATTGTCTTGATTTTCCTCTTTTCATCTCACCCTTAGACCTGATCTACTCCCTCTTTTTCCTTACTTTTTTCCATCATTTCTCTCTCTATGCTGTCTACTTCATTTTCCTCGTCGTCTCGGCTACTTCATTTTCCTTATCCAACGATTCCATTTACTTCTACGCCATCGCTAATCCTCCTCCTATGATATATCGATCTCATCTCTTTCTATCTTCAAATCGAAATTGATGATTGGAGAGGAATAGCGTATCAATGTAAATAATGCACACCTGCCAATCGGATCGAAATGTTTTGTGCTTTCCTTTTCATACGAATTGGAATCGTCCATTTTAATTTGTTAATGGTAAACTCCGTTTACGTTTCGCTTGTAATTTTTTATCCAACATGAAACTAGACACACAGGTACATACATATGCACACACGGGAACACATACATATCTACATATCTATGTACATACATACACACACACCCACATGGACATTTCTGAATACGTACATGCATAGATGCAAAAATACAAAGACACATAGATACATGAAAATGGATATATATTCATTTACGCATAGATACAAACATTCATATCCACATACATATATACATATATATATATGAATCATTTCATTATTACATCTCTCTCTCTCTCTCTCTCTCTCTCTCTCTTTCTATATATATATATATATGTGTGTGTGTGTGTGTATACGTGCGCATGCGCATCAGATCATTTGGAAAATTTCTATTTTGACATGTTTCGTCGACGAATCAGATTTATTTCAACAATATGAAATTTTATAAAAATTAGATTTTATTTAATTTTAACCCCGTCCTTTTTTTTTTATGGTTTGTCGTATCTCACGTTGTATCACTACTAATTTACTAATTACAGGTGGTAAATTTGAAAACAAATGAATATATAAATAAATAAATAAACAATTACAGAACAAACCGTAAGACAAGAAACATAGATATAAGCATATATAAAGTTATAATATAAAATTAGACACATCTTGTTAGTGGAATTTATTAAAACATGGTTACACATATATATATATGTGTGTGTGTCATTCGCAGACAGTACTGTTTCGCTGTATCACAGCTCCTCAGTGCAACTAGACATCCGAACGCTTCAAGCCAGGACCGAAACCATCAGTCAGAGTTTCTATCGCTGAGCTATCATCATTCAGCAGAGAGAAACAGCTAATTCTAACGTATTGTTTTTACGAATGTAAACAAAGGCCAATCCGTCATAGTGCTCCAATTCATTTTACTGAAGAGCATTACATTAGCGAAGGTGGCTGTTGTTTATAGAATCAGCTTATCTCTCAACAGTGCTCAACTGAAATATATTTTTCAAGAGCTTAATTATATATATAGCTTAATTATATATATAGCTTAATTATATATATATATATATATGGTGTAACAGCAAAATTGTCCAAATCGTGTTACAGCATAATTGTTCATCCTACAAAATGTTTATTATCTTTTTAGATAATAAACATTTTGTAAGATGAAACTAAACTAATTGAGCTTCTTTTTTCCAAGTTTTCAGATAAGACGCTTCGCCATCTTGATATCATTTGTCATAAGAATCACTGAAAAGGCTTTTGAGTTATTCAGCTAGAAAGAAAGCAGTTTGAAATTGTTTTATGCCAGACCCACTCAAATGAGAAATGGTGAGAGGAAAAAAATCAATCTGGCCTTCAGTAATTTTACCAACATTCATACTCCGGCTTCCATCTTCAAAGTCCATTCAAAAACCATCAAGAGAATGGAGAATAAGTTTAAAAAAGAGGGAACAATAGAGAAGAAAGATGAATCAGGGAGGTCGGAATAGGAAGTGAGATCATTATTTCAACTTAGAGATAAAGAGATCAATTAGAAAAGATCCAACTCAATCCATAAGACTTTTGGCACGTAAAAGAGTATTTTCACCTATGACAGTTCAAAGAGCTGTGAAAAAAGACTTGAAAAAGAAATCGTACGTGAAAAGTGTGAGGCAGCTTTTCACCCCAGGACGGAAAGTTAGAAGATTAGAGAGGGCGAAGATCATCTTGAATAAGGTGGAAAATGATTCTGGAATAATATATATATAAATATGTGAACTTTATTTCAATCCTTCATGAGCTTCCGGTACTTAACTATGATTAATTAATGATGAACATGTCATTTTATTTTATGATCGATTTAAGCTTGGAGAGTAATTATACATTCTTATTGTTCAAAGAAGAGTCTAATAGAGTTATAAAAAAGAATTTCAGTAAGATATCTTTAATCCTTTCTAAGATACAACAGTTCAATTCTTAATCTAATATATATAATATTCTTAAATTAAAAATTCCCAGCGTCTCTCGTTCGTGTATATGGGTATTCGCATTAATGCAAACAATTTTAGTCTAATGAAGTCGTAAAGGACAAAACGCGTCACATGAAAACTTTTTCTACTTTGTCATATATATGGTTAAAGTGCTCAGTATCAGAGACAGAGCTTATGTAAATATAAAATGCCTGAAAATGACCTTAGTGTATATATATATATATATATATATATATATATGTGTGTGTGCTTGTGTGTATGTGTGTGTCTGTGTGTGTGTAATATACAATTTGGAAAATTTCTACTTTGACATACTTCGTCGATGAACTACCGTTGTCAGAGTCTACTTTAGCGTTACAAAACCTGATTCACGATAAGAAGTTGAACGCTTGATTTTTACTTTGGCTGAATCATTATAAAAATAAGATTATGACTAATTTCAATTCATTTTTATTTAATTAATTCAGTTTCTCAGGGTTCAAGCATCCTTCATTATTTCTGTATGAATTTTGTAAGAACAGGCGATAAATTAATAGATTCATCGATCCTGACACTTTCAATTCACTTTCGTTTGTGCAAATTATTTTCATTTTTTATTGAAGCGGCATTTTCCATGTCAAAATTGAGATCTTGAACGATCTGCCTCTGTGTGTGTGTGTGTGTGTGTGAATGCTTTTATATGTGTGTGTGTGTGTGTGTGTGTGTACGAAAGCAAGAGAGATGTGAATGAAAACATGAAACAAAAAGAATAGAGAAAAACTAGAATAAGTTCAGTTCATTGGATTTTCATTCCTTCCAATTTTTTTTAAATTTTATTTCTACAACGACCGGTAGAAAGGCTGAAGAGACAACAAATAAAATCATCCCAAAAAGAAAAGATGGCGGAACCAGACCGGGAACGACGTTCAAACTGATGTCGTTGTTGTTCAGATCAGTTCTGATCCGAACGCTTTGACACTTGATAGAAGCAAACAATGAAAGGATAAATTTTTCGGTTTCATTCCAAGCTCCAAATATTTCACATTTCTTTTTCGCTATTTTAAACGGGATTCTTCTTTTGAGATAAAATGAATTTGTTATGGATATTTCAATATGAGTCCTTTAGGATAAGTAGATACGTTATATATTGATATAATGAATATGCATATACCTGCCGCCCCCTCACAGTAATATGATTGGCTGGTGTCAGCCATAAATACAGAATGATGTAGAGGTACAGGGACGCCTATTGTCTTCGCCTATTGCCTACCACTACGACGAGGACCAGTCCATTACGGTTATCTGCTAGATTGTCCTACCCGGTTGCAGTAGTCAACAACCACTTTGCTACTTCGAACAAATATATCCCTTTCCGGGACATATCATATCATATCATATCATATCATATATATATATATATATATATATATATATGGACGGTATTTAGTGTAAAGTGCTTAATATCTGTGATAGAGCTAACATATGTGGTTTGTCTGAAGATCGTGAAACCTAACCTAACAACTCTTCATGCAACCGCATATATATATATGTGTGTGTGTGTGTGTGTGTGTGTGTGTGTGTGTGTGTGTGTGTGTGTGTGTGTGTGTGTATTATTTTTAATTTATAATTTAATTTGTTTATTTGTCTTTGTTTATGTGAAGATGCGATACAGAGCAGTTATGAATGTTTCGAGTATCGGCAGAGAGTGTGTGTTCAAAAACGTACTATTCAGTCTTTGTTTGACCGGAAGTCCCACATGGCTGAGCGTTTAGGCCTGTTTAATCCAATGACGGTTGGGGGATGCAGGCTCGAGTCCTGGTGGAGGACGCAT